GTCTCTATTCTTCTTTAAACTTGAGGTAGGGATTTCCTTTGAGTTATATATGTTTTTGCAAGATCTAGATGATTTTCGAAATTATCCTTTGATTAGTTTTGAAAGTTGATTGTTGATTCAAGAAGAAGAGTAATTTTGAAAGTGGGTTTACTTTCTTTTCCTTTTTAAAAATGGAAATTGAGGGTTTTGAATTATACTGATTGAAGAAAGATGATTTTGGTGAGATCCTTCTAAATATTTTGGAGGTGAGTGGTTTTGGTGAGAAAACCTAGAAGTAGGATTTTTTTGAAAGATGTTGAAAATCCTTGGATGATGTTGACATATTTATTTTGAGGGTCAAAATAAATGGATGTTTTGAAAATTGTTTATTTATATATATAAACGATGAAGTTTGTAAACTATGAGAATTGTTGTTCATTTTGGAAATTGTTATTCAAAATGTTGTTTTAGTCTTGAAATAGAGAATGCTCGAAATGTGGGAAATGTGTTGTTCCTTGGGGGAATTGGAAATCAAAGTTTATATTCAATATATATTATTATTGTTTTGAAAAGACCTCGGGAATCATTCATTCAACCCCTTTATTACTTGTACCATTCACTGAGTATCCAAGCTCACCCTCCCTATGTATATATGTAGGTAACAAGCGAGAAGTCAGCTTCGCCGAGGTGTGTGTTTTGTATGCATGTTGTGTCGGCTTGAGGATGTCGGCAATCTGAAGATTATGTATTCTTGATTTGTATTTCATGTGTTATATTTATGTCGGCTTGAGAAGCCTTTTGCCAAGATGTAATACGTACTTTTGTATTCAAGTTGTAAAGCTATGTAAAGATGTATGCCATTTCACTTGACTTATGCACCGCTCTTATGGACCACTTGTATTTTGAATTATTGCTTCCGCATTTGTGAGCCCCCTATATATATACTCTGATTGTGTGTGAATTTTGTAAGTTGGCCTTCGGTAATTACGGATTACTGGCCATCACGGCACCAAACTACTAGGGGCGGTTTGGGGTCGTGACAACCCCCAACAAGCCGGACTGGCCTTGTTTCTACCCACAAGAAGAAGACGGAATGGCAGTCCACTGATGACGGAGCGATTTTTTCACCAAAATTTAAATTTGATGTCAAGTTTGGTTCACCGTTGAAGATGATCTAACTGTCTCTTTTAAAAAATAACCATATACTTCTCACATGATTTTAGATTAATTTATAACACTAACACCATTAAATTTATTTGCAAATTTTTTTTGTACAAATTTGTATAATATGTGGGTGTTTGGGAAGTGGATTTTTTTGTAGGTTTTTTTAGTTGTACGGTATTATTAGAGAAATTTTTTTTTTGTGTTTGAGAAGATAGTTGAATTTTTTTGTGGTTGGATGTGATGTTTGTGAGAGAAAAAATAAAATAATTATGAGATTTGATGTAATATTTTGTTTAAATTTATTTATTTTTATTTTATAATCAATTTATCTTTTAATAAAAAAAACTAAAAAAAATCAAAAAACAAACTTCCCAAACACCGCCATATGTAACTGATATAAATGTATTTTTTTTAGTATCACTATCTCACACTTTATCTGAGTATTTGATATTTTTTTGAAAAATTATTTGATAATTCTATCATTCCTCTTTGTCCAATATAAACCTGACACACCAAAAACAAGAGACAAGAGTTTCTACCCCCAAGAAGAGGCAATGGCCTTGTTTCTACCCCCAAGAAGACGGAATGGCAGTCCACTGATGACTTGACTTGGACACAAATGTATTCTTATTTACACATTTTAATAATTTTTAATTATATACATTATATTATAATAATTATTAGTATAACTAGTTGCTCATGGCTTGAGACTTTTCAAAACAATCAAGTCTTCTTATTACGTTTATAAAATTTAATCTTTCAACACTGGCATCAAAATTACATTCCACACTCAGAAGCTATGGGCACAACCTCTAGTGCTCTTATGATGTTATTTGCTCTTTTTTTCATTGAAAGACTTGAGTTCATTTGTAGTAGTACAAATTCAAATGTGAGTTGCATAGCGAGTGAGCGAGAAGCTCTTATGAAATTCAAAGGAAATCTCACAGATGAAGCAAACCGTTTATCCACGTGGGTTGGAGAGGACTGTTGTACCTGGAAGGGAGTTGGTTGTAGCAATAAAACAGGCCATGTTGTGAAGCTTGATCTGCGTAATCCAAATCTCGACAGCTATGGTCCAAATTTCGAAATGAACAAATTGCGTGGTCAGATAAGTCCTTCCTTACTCGATTTGAATCATTTGCATTACCTAGACTTGAGCATGAATGATATGCAAATTTCTAATTCCTTAGGATCTTTGAAAAGCTTGAGATACCTTGACCTCTCTGGGTCAATTTTCGATGCAACGATTCCTCATAATCTGGGAAATCTTTCGAGGTTGCAGTATCTCAACCTTAGCAATAATTATTTAAGTGGTCCAATTCTTGATACACTTGGAAGGTTGACCTCTCTCACAGTTCTTGACCTTTCATATGACACCTTCAATGATTCAATGTTGTATTCTTTGTGTAACCTGAGCAATCTTATCCATATAGATCTTAGTTTTAATCGCTATGGAGGTGCAATGCCCCATTGCCTTGGGAATCTTGCTTCTCTTTCCATCCTCAGGTTGAATTCAAATTACCTTCAAGGTCCAATTCCAAGTGAGATGGGAAATATGACACAACTTAAAGACCTTGACCTCTCTCAGAATCAGTTTGAGGGTCCAATTCCAAGTGAGATGGGAAATATGACACAACTTACTGAGCTTGACCTCTCTTCGAATGCATTTGCATGTGAAATACCAAACTCCATGAGGAACCTCTGCAACTTGCGTGTATTGGATTTGTCCTATAACATGTTCACTGGAAAGCTTTCAACTTCTATTGGAAGTCCATTTGGTTGCATCCATAATAGTTTGGAAGATTTGCTTCTTTCTTCCAATAAGTTGAGTGGTGGTCTGCCAAACCATTTGGGAGAGTTTAAGAAAATAGAGAGGCTTATTATTAGCAGGAATTCATTTTATGGTCCGCTGCCATCATCACTCGGAAGACTATCATATTTGAGAGAGTTAGATACTAGAGACAATCAATTGAATGGGAGCATTCCAATTAGTCTTGGACAACTTTCAAAACTAGAATATCTAGATTTGTCAAACAATTCATTTGTTGGCACTGTATTTGAACTTCACTTTGCCAAACTCAAGAGTTTAAATGAATTGTACTTGCATTCAAATTCATTAGTTTTGAATGTGACCTCCCAATGGGTTCCTCCCTTTCAACTCCAAGTCATACGATTGGCATCTGTCAAAGTAGGACCCCAATTTCCTCAATGGCTCGAAACACAAAAAAATGTTACAGTGTTAGACATGTCTAATGCAAGCATCTCAGTTGTCATCCCTGATTGGTTTGAGAGTATTTATTGTGGCATTGTAGCCTTGGATCTTTCCAACAACCAGATCAAAGGAAAGCTGCCAATATGTCAAAAATGTAAATATAGAAGTAGTGCTATTGATAGATGGTTATATTTGAGTTCTAACAGATTTGAGGGCCCACTAACACCGCTTCCTTCAGATGTTTATTTGTTAGATCTCTCAAATAACCAGTTGACTGGTGTCATTCCAGTGTCTTTGTGCAAGGTAAAGAATATAGCTTATATTAAATTCTCAAACAATCAGTTATCAGGAAGAATTCCTCCTTGCTTGTGGCAGTTGGATCACTTGTTCGTGCTAGATTTGACGAATAATAGTCTATATGGTGAAATTCCCAGTTCATTGGGTTCCCTACAATTTCTCAATTCCTTGCACTTACGTAAGAATAGATTTCATGGGAAGCTTCCTTTGTCCTTACAGAATTTGACATTTCTTTTCACCATTGATCTAGGTGAAAATGTGTTCGCTGATAATATCACTTCATGGATTGGATATAACCTAACTAATCTTAGATTTCTCAATCTTCAATCAAATAATTTCTATGGTGATATTCCTCCGTAACTCTGTCAGCTCCAAAATTTGCAATTGTTGAACTTGGCACAAAACAACATAACGGGAAATATCCCTCGTTGTTTTGGCAACTTCACTAACATGGTTGCACTAGATAGTCATCCAGCTGGAACAGAAGTGGATATTAATTATGAAGAGAACATTTTGGATTCAATGAAAGGAAGAGAACTGGAATACACCAAGACACTCAAATTTCTCGTCTCCATGGACCTTTCAAACAATGGCATTGTTGGAGAGATTCCAAAAGAGTTAATGGATCTTTCTGGGTTGCTGAACTTGAATTTATCTGGAAATCATCTAAAAGGAAGGATCCCTAATAATATTGGCAATTTGACACAATTGGAATCTCTTGATTTGTCTCGAAACAAACTTTCTGGCCCCATTCCTCCAAGTCTGTCCAGTTTAAGCTACCTAAGTCATTTGAACATGTCATTCAATAATTTATCAGGGCGAATACCAACGGGAAATCAACTTCAAACCCTCAATGATCCTTCCACTTATATAGGCAACGATGGCCTTTGTGGTGCACCACTCCTAAATAGTTGCCTCGATAATAAATCATCTAATGGTGATCACAAACATGCTGATGAGAGTAAAGTTGCAGATGAAACTGATTTTTTGTGGTTCTACACTGGCATTGGACCTGGTTTCCTGGTTGGGTTCTTGGGGGTCTGTGGCACTTTGAATTTCAAGAAGTCTTGGAGGTATGCATACTTCCAGTTCATCGAAAACAACTACAATTGGATATTAATAAACATAGCAATCAAGCTCGCTCAGCTAAGGAGGATGTTCAACAAAGGCAAGTTTGGAGGATGAATTTATCACCCAATTGGTTCGTCTCTCTCTCTCTCTCTCTCTCTCTCTCTCTCTCATGTAACTATATTACCTCTGCATCTTTTCTTGATTGCGATGGTGCATCAAATCAACATCTTCATAACCCATGATTTATCTTGCATGAATCTTTCAAATTTTTTTCAATTCCTTACCATCATTAACATAACAATTCTATTCATGTTAATGATTTTTGGAACATCATCACAACTTGAAGAATAACCATTCATATTTTTAAGTGGAGGTAGTGATATTTCCAGATTATCATCAAAACATGTCTTACATTCAAGATCATATAGCAAAGTACAGATTAAATTCCACCAAATTTCTTTACCAAAAGCGCCAAAATTCTTTGTCACATGCTTAAAAACATTGAAATAAATGTAGGTTTGTTGCTATATAGTTCAAATAATGCAAATACATTTCTCAAATATTTTTTCGTAAGTCATTTGTTGCATTATTTCAGAGAAACCATGTTAACATCCACTAATATGCTTGTTATGTGCCTTGCTATCATTGAAGGGTCTTATATTCAGCTGGAGAAAGGACCCTAAGAGGAAGCAGCATTGAGATCATGTTATGGATTTTCTTGAGTTGTTGGAAAGAAATAAGATTGAATAATTCTATAGTTCTAGTATATATGTTGGTGGGGTTTGATGATTGTGTCTTTTGTAAAATATTCTAAAGTAAGTCTTTCCTTAAATAAATGACTTGTGAACTATCATATTGTCCATAATATGTTATAGACTGTGTTTTGCATATATATGCATTCTCCTTTTATTGGTGAATTCTATGATTTTTGCCAATTGAGGCCATGGATTCTAGTTTTAATTTTGAGAATTGAGCAAAATGCTCCAACAATGATATACATATAGTAATGGTATCAACAACAAAAACCATATCAAAACAGAGAGCTATTGTGCCACAGTCAAATTCACATATAGGTTCAACTATTCATGTTTTTCTTCACATTGTAGTAATCTTTACTTGTGTCAAAACTTTTAATGATTTAGGAGAAGCATGTAACATCAGTAATATACAAGTATGTTTCTCAACTTGCACTACTTTTTGTTTAATTTGTTAATGATTAATCCTTGCCAAAAAATTTTTTTTTTTAGGTGGTGTGTTTTATTCTCTATCAATTGGTGCCCATTAAGTCTTACCCAAATAATTTCTCCTTGTTTTTAATAATCAATTTTGTGCTCAACACTTATATTTTAAAGTTTCCAAGCTAAGGTGTTTAATAAAGGCATATATACCTTCAGTTTGTGAGCAATGTGATATCTTCATTTGATGCTCATATTTTCCACACAGATTCTGATACCAACTTTATGGATCATCACCATCTCTGCCACGACCGATTAGGCTCAACATATTAATCACTTTCAATTCATTATAACCACACAAAAAATAATAAATAAATAAATAAATAATTCTTGATTTTTTCCTAATCTTGGAACGACGATCGAAAATTGTATCCTATCAAGTAGCTGAACCACAACCACCACAAAAGTAAAACCTACAAAAAAATTAAAATAAAAGATATTATTAACAATCAAATGCATTAATATAAAGTATAATCAGAATCAGAAGAGTATGATTCTTACCATCTCTGCTTCTAATTTTCCCCAACTAGCTAGCCTGGCACTTATCCAGATAAACTCCTCTTTTTTGTTTTAACTTCCATTTCCAATATTCCCATCAAGCATGTCTTACTTCACAACCAACTTACAAAAGCACATGCATCCACGTACGTAACGATGAAAAAAGCTACCCTTATCTGACATAAAACACAAAGCCAAAGTCGCATAGAAAGGAATATCTTGACCTAACAAAGGCGAGTACCAAAACTGTCAATGCAACCAAATTATCATAAACTTCCATATATGCAGATAGATGATTAAGTTCTCTCTAACACGCATATTAATTTAGCAATCCACATAATGACCCATTTCAATGGGCATTAGTCATCCAACTTGCCTTGTAGCAACAATTAGTTCAGAGAAAAATCACCCACCCAAACTTATCTTCCCACACCCCCTCCCCCCCCCACATTAGAGGCAAAATTTTAACTTAAAACTTATGAATGGTAAGAGAAGAAATCACTTCTTTTTTTTCTTTTTCTTTTTTTGTCCTTTCAAGAAGTAATTAAACGAAGATATCTAATGCACCTTATTTGTACTTTAAACAAAGAGAACATTTTTTTTTTTAGAGTCGAAATGCCTCAAGTGGCTGAGGTGCACCTTGGATATCAGATATAAGTAAAATGTCCTACAATTAAGATGCCAAAAGAACTTTTATTTTCAGGATAAGCAATTAAGATGCCCTAGAAATAATAATGAATGTAAATAGCAATGGGGTCTAGAATCTTAGTTCTTCAGGGTCTTTTTCCGGTAAATACTTTTTTGATAAGGTTATTGATAATCCCTATGTTCCTTTGTTTCCTATTCATAAGAAAATTTGGAAAGCTGTTATCCCTCATAAAGTGAAGTTCTTCATGTGGCCTTTAGCTCAAAAGGGTGTCACAACTAATGATTTCCAAAGAAGAAGGCCTAATCACTCTCTTTGCCCTCAATGGCATGTGATGTGCAAGAGGAATTCGGAGGTAATGGATCATTTATTCCTTCATTGCCTGGTGGCTTTTGTATTATGGCAACGTCTTTTCGGCTTATGTGATGATCAGTGGGTTTACTCTGCGGGACTGCATTCAAATGCTTCTTGTTAGGTTCAAAGTGTTTGGGAGCACCAAAAGAGCCAAAACATTGTGGTCAAGCATTGTTTTTGCAATTTTCTGGACTATATGGTTGGAGAGAAATGCAAGAATCTTTGATGGCAAGGAATCAAATGTAGAGGCTTTGTGGGATAGGGTGGTATATTTGGCTTTGTTTTGGGCATTTGTATCCCCTTCTTTTAAAGGAGTCCCTTTGTTCTTGATCTCTAGGGATTGGACTGTTGTTTGCCATCCCTAGTACTAGGAGTTTTGTGCTTTGTTTTGTTCTTTCTCCTTCTTTGTACGAGGACTTCTTGCCATTTTTCATTTTTCTTTTTAACAAATTTTTTGTTGATGCTCCAAAAAAAAAAAAAAAAAAAAAAAAAAAACATTCTATGTAAGCCAAAATCAACCATCGTATTAAATATTTAATAGCTATCATTGAACATCGTGGTTGACCCTTACATTAATAGCGTGCCACAAGAGCTGTAAAAATATTAAACAGGCATACAAGGTCCGCTGTTAAAATGTTTTTAACAACATGCTATTACTGCCGTTAAAGTGAACGACTTTCCACGGCATGCCATAACACGGTTTTTCATTACACGTCATAGAAGCATATCCACGGTGCATTCAATGCCATTAAAAGTGATTGTTGTAGTAGTGGGGGTCCGATGCCCTTGGCTTGTTTGTGGCTCAAACAAGCCTGAATTGTCTCTCGATCAATGTTTTTGATAAAATCAGTTACTAATTTTGGAAAACATCATCAATCAAGACACAACCAGGCTTCTGTGTGTGTGTGTGTGTGTGTGTGTGTGTGGATTAAAAATGTTGATTTTGGACTAAAACACGGGCTCAAGGATAAAATGGTCATTTTTACAAAGTTAATTTTTGGCTAAAATAGGTTTGTACAATAATTTCAAACAACCTCAAATACTCTAAAGATGAAGTAATTACCGTTTCATCATCGAGAGGCTTACAAGCACCCGAAGTCTTAGGGTTAATCAAAATAGGGTGTCTACAACACCCACCATGATAGACATCGTGCCTACGATGGTCTGTCCATTTAAGTGTTGAGTGCGTGTGAAAACCAAATTTTTTAGCATTTCTCATCTTTCGTCTCTTTCAATTTTCCATTTCCGAGCTTCCAAGCTCTTTACCCCTTGGTTTTATCTAGTTAGGGTCAAAATCTCACCCTAGTCCTTTATACCAAAACGTAGAGCGTGGCGAGGTCTTTCTTTTAATCTTGTTGGATCATGAATTCGTCATCAATGGATTTTTGAGTTTATCCTCTTCACTCCAAGAGGTAGGGATTTCTTTACTTCTCTTCAATACCCCGCTATAAATAGATATGTGGTAGTTTTTATTGCATTAAAAAACATGATTTTGATATGAGATTCCTAAAAGCATATGGGTGGGTTAGGGCTTTGAGCTTATTGAGTTAACCTTGTAATTGGGGTTGGTTGTGGGAATTATGTGTTAATTGAGCATGCTTAGGATGCTAGAATTGGAAAGCCTAATTTAAAAGTAAATTACCAATGATTCCTACGTTTGGGACTTATTACCCATTAAGTGTTATTAATAAATTTATCAGCCAGGACCTCTAGGTAAATAAGTCTAGTTAATAGGATTGATTGGTAAGTGCTCCTAATTCTAATCCATGACTATGAAAGATGAAAATAATTGATGTTTGTATAATCGTTGAGCCATGTGTTGATATTAATGCATTGGTAATGTGGAGATTAAAAAGGAGTAATAATAGGTGATTATGAATAAATGGCTAATG